GTCGCTTTTGTGTAGATTCCTTGTTAGGGGGGTATCTAAAGGGGACAGTTTTCTAGGTCTACATTAGCCCTACTCCTCAGATGTGGCTTCTCTGAGGTCTCAGTCAAATGCCCTGGGTATTCAGCCAAGTTTCTTCATTCTGTATGGTTGTAAGAGCCCACCTTGTAAGAGCTGTGGTAGTAGTTCTTTGATTAATTTTGTGGCAACTCCCTGTATTATGTGCCTGTCGGAATGTAGCCAGTCTCCAGTGGACCCCTGTAGACATCTCTTTGTCTGTGTGGTTCTCTCAAATTCCAGCTGCTTCTTCTTCCCCAAGCTCTGATTTTTATTCAGTGAAATTGTTACCAGTTGGTGGATTGTAAAATTCCTTGGCTCTTGTCTTCTTGAAGGAAAGAATTTATTTGAGAGACTTGAGAGAGAATTAAAGCAGCAAAGGTTTTATTTAGCAAAGGGGAAGTACACTCCAGAAATGTTGCAAAACAGGTTACTCTATGAGAGATGGGCTGGTCTCTGGGTGGAGACTGGGTGGTGCCTGGCAGTTTCCTATCTACCATCCTCCTTTCTCCCCTTCTGCTCATGTCTATCTATCTCCCTTCTCTAGCAAGATCATAGTGCTTTTTTGGGATTCCCGTCCTTGCAGCATGGTTCAGAAAGCATCTCCAAGTGAAAGCAAGTGATCCTCAGAAAGGCCTTCCCTGTTTCTTTCCCTTCTCTTAGAGATTACAGCCTTTGCTGTCTGTTGTCTTATGTTTGGAAACAGTTGTGTACTATATATTTTTTCCAATTAAACAGCTGCTTATAGTGGTAATGCTTGTCTAGTACCATTTACTCTACCATGGTTGAATATTGCTTTTAACTCCATAGTTCAATTAAGTACCAGCTATCACGATATAAGTAGAGTCAACAAATTTTAAGCAAATAATAATGTGTGACATGATCTTGAATATATTAATTTTATGAGAATGACTTTTTAAAATCAATTTCAAATTAATACTGGCACATTGATGATTTATTAGTCCCTAAACGAAGAATAATTACCCAAGTCCTATGACATTTTTATCATACCCATCTTCTTTTATCAAATTTACTTTTTTTGGATAGTTATTGGCTATATCTGCTTTAGAGATTTTATTCTCCATTTCTTTTTAAATCCTTTGTAGGTAGAGTCTGTATTCTTTTTTTTTTTTTAAGATTTATTTATTTATTTGAGAGAGAAAACACAAATGGCAGGAGGGCCACAGGGAGAGAGAGGATCTCAAGCAAACTCTGCACTGAGCATGGAGCCTGATATGAGGCTTGATATCACAACTGTGAGATCACGACCTGAGTTGAGACCAAGAGTCGGACACTTAACCGACTGCGCCACCCAGGTGTGCCTTGAGTCTTTATTCTTGTTATTAATTATTATTTGGGTTGGACTAATACCACATTTTAGAGATAGCCAGCATGCTTCACTACATACTCATGTAGTGAATATAATAATCATATGATAAAAAATAATCATGTTTTATTCTATTCTATTATATTCACTTTTATTGTAAAACAACTTGCTGCATAGGTTTTCTGTCCAGTGATCCAAACATCAGATGAATGATTGGCCTAGGTGACTTTTAAATGCCCTTTGACCTTGACATTCTATCATTCCTCAGCTAATTCAGCAGAAATGTCTTGAATCCCACTGTAATTGTGTATATTACATAAGAACTGCCTTTGTCTTTAAGGAGCTTGGAGTTTCATTGGTAAGATAATATCTGCATACATATAGTAGGTAACAGTTAAAAATTGTGTATGATTAATTGCAGAATGAACAGCACAAACCAGAAATGCCTGAGATGTTAAGTCAGAGAAAGAGACACTGGCAGAAGTAGAATGACAAAGAGCACATCTTGTCATCTTGTGTTGGGGAGTGTCAGGAAAAGAGAGCCACTGAAGCAGGAAAAGGAGTATACATTGTCAGGAATGTTAGTAAAGAGACCAGCCTAGCAGAAGTAGAAAGACGTTTGGTCTTGTTTTGAAAATGTATTGCTAAGTTATGAAGTATTGCAGTGTTCTCAGCAATGACAGTTCTTTTTTTTTTATTTTTAAAAAGTATCAAATTTATAAACTGCTGCTGTGAGACTGAATTACACTGGTCAATATCCCCATGATTTCCTGGCATCTTTTTTTTTTATTATGTTATGTTAATCACCATACATTACATCATTAGTTTTTGATGTAGTGTTCCATGATTCATTGTTTGCGTATAACACCCAGGGCTCCATGCAGTACCTGCCCTCTTTAGTACCCATCACCAGGCTAACCTATCCCCCCACCCCCCTCCCCTCTAGAACCCTCAGTTTGTTTCTCAGAGTCCATAGTCTATCATGGTTCATCTCCCCCTCCGATTTCCCCCCCTTCATTTTTCCCTTCCTGCTATCTTCTTTTTTTTTTTTTAACATATAATGTATTATTTGTTTCAGAGGTACCGGTCTGTGATTCAACAGTCTTACACAATTCACAGCGCTCACCATAGCACATACCCTCCCCAGTGTCTATCACCCAGTCACCCCATTCCTCCCACCCCCCACCACTCCAGCAACCCTCAGTTTGTTTCCTGGAATTAAGAATTCCTCATATCAGTGAGGTCATATGAGCAATGACATTTCTTTAGCAGTGGTCAGCTTGGTGGTAGCATTGGCTGTCTAGATTTGGAAGTTTTGCATCACTAAGGTACCACCAGTAATTGTTTTAATGTTGCAGTAGAATGAAAATTTTTCATGAAAAATCTCATCATATCATGAGCTATATCTGTTTGAAAAACAGTATGAAGAGAATACCCATCTGAGATCTGTCTTTATGGACCGCTAGATGTTGGAGAAATTCTGAGTCCTGTAGATCTTCTCTGTTTGAGTCTAGTAGATTCTAGTCTTTTGTTTGTGTTTAACTTGAGGATCCAGGTTACACTGAGGTTAAGACTCTTGTGTTGATATTGAAACCTGAATACAGTATTCCATGCTGTCTTTTAATCTCTATTCAAGTGTTACAACAATAATTCAAAGCACATTAGTTTTTTAAAATATTTTTTAATAAAACCAATGTAGCATGTATGTATTAGAATAAAAAGTTAACTAAATTTCCTACAAAGTGAAAAAGAAGCACCATGGGGCATCTGGGTGGCTCAGTCCATTAAGCATCTGCTCTCAGGTCATGATGTCAGGGCACTCTGCTCAGCAGGGAGTCTGCCTCTCCCTCTCCCTCTGATCCTCCTCCCAGCTTGTGCTGTCTGTCTCGAATAAATAAATAAAATCTTAAAAAAAAAAAAAAAAAGCACTGTAATTTCTTTCCATTGACTGTGACCTAAACAAGTTAGAGAATATTTCTGTAATTATTGAATATGAAATATATATAGTCATCTATAAATACCCAAATATTGAATTCCAGTGTGTTACAGTTTTCACTTGCTAAAATTATAGAACTATACATTAATATTATAGTAATAATATTTTAGAGTTAATAATATAGTTAATATAGTTAATAATCTGTTGAAAGAGTATTAAACAAAAGCTGAAAACATGACTAACAGACACTGAAAGCTTTATGTCTTCCTTCAAATTTTCTAAAATCATTGTTTAAAAAATGCTTAGTAATCATGGTATCTTTGCTATGTATATTCCTTTTTTGCACTGGCTTATTTTTAAACTGAGACTCCTGGGAGTGTTTGTTTAAAAGAACAGAGAAATTCTAAGAGCAGTGAAGGGATGGAAGGAGAGAAGTAAATACAACTTTACTTGGGGACAGAATTGAATGTGAATGTGTCCGTTTTATGCCAAACCACAGAACAGTTCTGTAATCTAGCAGGTGAAGTTTTTAATGTGCTTAATACTTAATAATCTTTAATACTGCATTAAGTTGTTTATAGTATTTGATGCCTGGAGAAACTTGAGCAACTTAGGGATATTTTTCTTTTCTTTTCTTTTCTTTTTTAGATGTTATTTTTAAGTAATCTCTATACCCAAGGTGGGGCTTGAACTCAACCCCAAGATCAAGAGTCACACACTCTACCAACTGAACTAGCCAGGCGCCCCCCTCTTTTAAGAATTTTTTAAATTAAATATTTTAATTGATTTATTTTTTAATTGAAGTATAGTTGACAGTCAATATTACATTAGTTTCAGGTGGATAACAGATATTCAGTGCTTACCATATGTCACCATACAAAGTTACCACAGTATTACTGACTGTATTCTCCTATGCTGTACTTTTCATTCTCATAATTTATTTATTTTACAGCTGGAAGCTTGTACCTCTTAACCCCCCTCACCTATTTTGCCCATCACCACTTATCATGGTGAGCACTAGGTAATGCATATTGTCAGATCACTATGTTATACACCTGAAACTAATAATAACATTGTATGCCAATTATACTTAAATTTTAAAAAAAAAGAACTGGGGCGCCTGAGTGGCTCAGGTCATGATCCCGGGGTCCTGCGATTGAGCCCCGTATCAGGCTCCCTGCTCTGCGGAAAGCCTGCTTCTCCCTCTCCCACTCCCCTGCTTGTGTTCCTGCTCTCGCTACCCCTGTCTCTGTCAAATAAATAAAATCCTAAAAAAAAAGTTTTAAAAAAAAACCTTATATTTCTCTACTTACTTTCCGATCTCCTCATTTTTGGATACTGCAGTACTATTTCTATAGCTAATGCAACATTTTTCTCAGGTCTTTTAAAGGCTGTAGTAAGAACCAGCTGAATGTATATAAGATGACTGGATCAGTTTTGGAGAAAATTTGGAGAAAAATTGAAGCAAAAGAAATTTAGTCTTAATATTACACAATATAAGACTTTCTCCGCCTTTTATCTCATTAATGTGTATTTTATCATCTCAGCAAGGTAGAATTTGGCATACAAATATGTTTTGTTAGAAAATTTTTTAATTGAATTTTTGGAACTTTCAATGCTGTGAAAACACGTGTACTTCTGTGGTTGTTTTAGTGTTACATTTTTTTAATTCATTTTTGGCAGATAAAATAACACAAGAAGATATTGAAGGCATTCTACAGAAATTTACTGGGAATATAATGCAGGTACCTCCCCTGTAAGTTCAATTATTGAATTTGAATAAATGTTTAATTTTTATTTTTCAGTGTTTAACATCACTTTAATGAGAAAAAGAGGGGGCTTCCTTTTATGTATGGTGAAGCACATTTTAATCTGACATAACATATGATCAAGTAAAGGTGAGCCAGATTGAGACAGGTTGCAGAGCTTCCAACAGTCTCTGAGGTAGTGGAATGTGGTTTCCTCTGTCTCTGGATGTTGCCACAGCCTGACATCTATGCTATTCCAGTGTTGATCGGTTTTTCTGATTCCATCTGTTTGCCTCAGAGCAGTTCTGGAGTGCAGAGATGTCAGTTGTCCCGGAATTGCTATGAAGGGACCAGTCCAGGCTAGTATTGGTGTCAGAGCTGTGATTCATAGTCCAGTTGGTACTTTTTTTCAGGGGTGGGGACCATTTTTTTAGGCCTAGAATCTTATGCTTCACAATTCTCTGCAACAAATGAAACAGATGAGAGTTATAAATTATTAAAAGTATAAGAATATTGAGTACCACTTAACCATATTTTTTGTGCACATTACCATTTCAAGCAAGTTGCTTTTTATTTAAAAAAATGGCTGAATCGTTACATGTCAGAAGTTACTGACAGTTCTTTTAGAGTTTAGTATTTATTTATTTACTTATTTTAAGTAGGCTCCATGCCCAGCATGGAGCCCAATGTGGGGCTTGAACTTCCGACCCTGAGATCAAGACCTGAGCTGAGATCAAGAGTCGGACACTTAATTGACTGAGCCAGCCAGGCATCCCTAGAATTTAGTATTTATGTTTTACTTTAAAATCTTGATTTTTTTTTTCCAGGAACACTGAAATATCTATAGGGAAATGTGTCTTCATAATTTTGCCTCAAATGAAAGTTTTAAAAAATTTTGCAGGATATGAATAAATGTTATTTTTTGATCATTATTGTTAAAATAAATTACACATTTGTATCCATTTATAAGAGCAGTTTTAGAAATTTTTTCTGTTGATTATTCCAAGGATTTTGTGGTCTAATAAAATTTTATCACACAAAGCTTAAGATCTGTTAAGTAGATTTGCATTTTAGAAATATTTTGTTAATTTTTATGTGAAAATGAATATTATTGTAATGGAAGTTGTTTCAAGGAAATATAGTGGAGACCACTGTGACCAGAGGCCTTGTGCCCTTAACCCAGAACCAGGACCAGTGAACACATGAATAGACCATCTCCAGAGGGAAGGTTAAAGTGTAAAATTGACAATATTGTTCACTGGGTAGCAGATTGAGCTTTAGCTTCAAAGGTATTTAGGAACTCCATCCCTGGTACCATCATGGAGTAGATTAGAAGAAAAAAGTAGTTCATGTTTTAGAAAGATTCAATTTAAGGGCTGCTGGTCCTCCTTTCTTTCCATGATGTAATCTGAAGTTATTGTGTCTCATTCTTTCTTAATCTTTTCTCTCTCCTTCACTCCCTCTCTCCCTCTCTTATCTTGCAAGCTATTCTGCATTAAAGAAAGATGGACAGAGACTTTCAACCTTGATGAAGAGAGGTGAAGTGGTAGAAGCAAAACCTGCCAGGCCCGTTACCGTATACAGTCTCTCCCTTCAAAAATTCCAGCCACCATTTTTCACATTAGGTAAGGTGGAAAAATTTGAAATCATTTGTAGTTACATGTACCTTTATTCCGCATTTGGCTACTTTTGGGTAGTTTAATGGATCCCTAGTATATTGGAGATGTTTAAAATTTGAATTTAAGTAAGGTTAGGATTTATTAATACTTTTTTGATAACACATTTAATGAAAATACTGATAGCTACATGGAAGTTCGGAAATACTTTTCTAAATAGACTGAGTTTTTTATATATCATATTATCTTCTAAAGTTGGAAGTAACATACCTTTGATTTCTAATGGCAAAGAGTAGATAAGGGGTATATACTTTCAAAATTTATATTTTGTGTTTTATTATCTTAGGGATGCTTGTTTTCCCCCTTTTTGGCTAGTACCTGGTAGTTTACATTCAGTTTTAAAATTTAAATTAATTTGTCCTTTTAAAACAAAGTATTTTCAGTCTTTGGACAAGAAATTCTAATAGCAGAGTGATTATTTCTCCCCTTTCTATGTTACCTGCAAGTTACTGCCAAAGATCCTGACAATATGGAAATAATGGGTAAGGCAAAAATGTATTCTTGGACATGCGGTAAATTTTAATTCAGTTTATCAATTTGAATTTATCTATAAATCTATATTTGAAATAAATTTAAAAACTAAAAAGTTTGTTTTTATGGTTTGGAAATTTTATGATCTCCTAGTTGCAGAAAGTAGTAGCTGAAGTCATGAACATATATACGAGCTGTGAAGAATCAAAAACTGTAGTTCTTCTAAATTCTCAGGCTTCCTTAAACTGATCCTGCTCTTAATTTCACAGTGCCTACTAGATAGGATTCCCTTTAGAAATAATTTCCTAAAATTTTTTTTCCCCTAACTTCTGTTGCTTTGACATACTATTTAATGTATATAAAGCTCCTATAGAATGTGGTTTTTGTACAGTTAAAAAGTGAAGTCACTTCTTTCCTTTAGTGTCCTGACTCTAAAATGTTTGACGAATAATGAGAAAAACAAACTAAAAAGTGCTTCATTCCATGAAAATGCAGCAGCTGGGTTGGCACAGTTGATACTATCTATGAAAGGAAGAGAAACTTGAATTATTCCGATTGCATTTAAGTTGTAAATACTTATTTTGTTCACTTGGAGGTTGTAACAGGCCGAAAGAGCTGTGTTTTCACCAAAGTCAAATATAGTGCAAGAATGTTAATATACCTGCTTTGATCCCAGTGCTCATTTTTTTATCTCAGCAGTGGCCCCCAGCCTTGAGCTGATGGGGAAAAAAAAAGAATTAAAATCCCCAAGTAGTGAGTTTTGGTTAATTCCCTCAACTTTTTTTTTGTATGATAAGACTATAAACAGCAGGAATGTAGTCCTTTTGTGTGGAAATTCAGGATATCTTGTGGATGAATAAAAATAATCCAGAGTCTTGCTCTTAACCAATAAACATGTAAGATACTGTGTTAAGATGTTTAGATATGCGTTCACTGTGGAACATTGTGTAATTTTAGTTATTTTATGATTTCTTTAGGAATATTTCCAAGAGAACATTTAAATAGACTGAGCTCTCCATGTAGTATATTTGCCCAAACATAATTACTGTCCCTGATAAGGGGTTTTTGTTTGATGTATTTTTTGAGTGTGTAAATCTGAAATCGCTTAAAAATCTACAGCTCCTGATAGCAAAGCTGAGATATCCAACTATTTAAAACCAATTAAGTGAACAAGGTGTACAAATCTGAAAATATTTTTTAAATGTACAACTCATAATAGCAAAGCTGAGATTTCTAACTATTTAAAACCTATTAAATGAACAAGGCTGAAGTATTAATGTTGGTGTGACTTGCCAGTTAATTTAAAATGTGTTCATGAATTTCTCCTGTTTGCTTTCTCCACACTCTGACTTTTCAATCTCACAAACACATATGCTGTTGGATGAATAATTTATGTTTTAGCGCATAAATATTTTATCACTCGATTGTTTGCATAGTGCATTTTTACATTTGTTTAGGGGCATCATTTCTATGTAAAGTGGATTTCATAGGAGGTTAGCAATTTACCATGTCACTGTTAACATTCCAGATGTTGAATGTGGAGGAGGTTTTTATATAAGAAGCTTGGTCAGTGACATTGGCAAAGGTAAGCATAAAGATGAATTAGGAATTATCATTTAGAGAGTAATATTCTTTTTTGATGGGAAGAGGGAATTTTCTATTTTTCATATCTCTGACTGCTGACCTTAGGGAACTGTACTCTTGCTGCCTTCAGCTTCAGAAGCATTGAAGGTTTATAGCATACAATTATCAGCATCAGCAGCTGCCGTGAAATGCTTATAACAGGAGAGAAAGAGGAGCAGGAAATGAAGATGGGAATAATCAATGTAAGAACCAACATTATTTCAGATATAAAATATTTTAACTCAAAGGGATAAGATAAAAAGATTTATCCTTCTAAAAGTTACTTTCATTGATATAAGTAAAAAAATTTTTTTTTAAACTGGAAGCCACAGTCTTACAAACAGCTAGAAAGTTGTTGGCAGCTCTGACACCGGACAGGTCAGATTACCTCATCTGCAGATGAGAGGAATAGTTACCTCATGGGCTTGCTTCATGGCTAAATAAGAAAAGTATGTGCCGGTTCCTCGTAGACTTTAAAGCAGTTTATAAGGTGAGTTACTAAATATTATTTTGCTTCTTCATCATTTCTTAATCTCAAGGCTCTTGGTTCTTAGATTGGACTATTATAGTTTTACATTTGGGGTAGTTTGGGGAGGTTTGAATCAAGATCTTCTGTCATTTGAACATGATCATGACCTTGAAATAATGAATCATTTGTGCTGTGGATTTTCTTTTCCCCTTTTGTTGCTATAGAACTCTCTTCCTGTGCCAATGTCCTAGAACTGACCCGAACCAAACAGGGACCATTTACGCTAGAAGAGCATGCCCTTCCTGAAGACAGATGGACGATTGATGACATTGCACAGTCTCTGGAACATTGCTCATCTCTTCTCCCAGCAGAGTTGGCACTTAAAAAATCCAAACCTGAGGAGTCTAATGAACAAGTTTTGAGCTGTGAATATATAACTCTAAGTGAGACAAAGGGAGAAGATGATGTAATTAAGACATCTTAAGATTGGTTTGGGATTGTCATCATTTCTTGGTTGACATTTGAATCCTGTGTACAGAATGACAAGCTACGTGCAAAAGACAAACAACTATTTCTTTTTTTTTCCGCATGATTTTTGTGTGTGTGTGTGAAGAAAAATGTCCATCATTTACAGTTTCTATGGTGTACAATTTATCTGCTCTACATTATAAATAGCCTTGCAGTTAGTTGTTCAGTTCTTTGCCTTACTATGAAATGTTCTTTTAGGATGTTATTATGTTGTTAGATTGGATTCAGGAAAATCAAATCTTCTGATTTTGATCTTTCTTCAAAGTCTTTTCCTTGAAAAAGTTGAACACATTTTCTAATCAAAGAATAAAGAAACACGAGCTACATGTTTCTTTGGTGTCACAAATGTGAATGTAAATTAGTGTTACTTTGACTTTATTTTGGCTTACTAGTGGCTCTGTTGTATTGAAATTCTTTATGTTCGAAAAGGCCATTATTTAACTCATATTTTGAAGTTTACAGTTATTAAGAACATTTATTTGATGAGGCTGTGCAACTCTGGTGATAGGTATGTTTGTTTAGATCTCGGAAACTAATAAACTTTTATAATAAATATTTGTAAATAAATTACTGCTGCTACCACTAACAGAATGTGAATAGAGGACTGAATATTTAATTAGATTCACCTCCACCATGAGGGCAAAGGACAGCTCTGTGGCTTATATTTTGGCAGCTATGTGAACTTTTCCTGATGATTTCATCAACACAGTCAACCACCCTGTACCAAGTTATTAAATAGCATAATTTTTAAAAAGTAAGCTAAAGAATGTATCTTCAATTTAGAATTTCTTCTCTCTATTTTTTAGTATTTATACCTCCACAGGGCATTAATCACCATGACATTGTGGTTTTTTTTGTTTTGTTTTGTTTTGATTCTGGTTTTTTTTTAGTTTGCTGTTTCAAATTCTATTTATAGATGTTGAGATAGCTGCCCTGCATTTCTAGTTAATCTCTTCTGCTCTAAATATTTTAAAAGTTATTCTCAAACGTTTTCTTTTTTCTTTTTCTTTTTAAAGATCACTTTCATTTATTTGAGAGGGAGAGAGAGAGCACAAGCACAAGACGGGGGAGGCAGAGGGAGAAGCAGACTCCCTGCTGAGCAGGGAGCCCGATGCAATGTGGGGCTCAATCCCAGGACCCCGGGACCACGACCTGATCCGAAGGTAGAAGCTCAACCAGCTGAGCCACCCAGGCGCCCCTCAAACGTTTTCATTCAAATAGCTTACCGAAAGTTCCAGGTCCCTTTTTAACATTATTTTGAAAATGTAGTCACGTTACAAAATGGCAAATTTCATATATAATGAGTGCTTCATATTTTTGTTATGGGAAAGCAATGTATTATGTGGCCAATCTTTAGAAATGTCCAAATCCTGCTTTACTGATTCAGATCAGTATAGTTTCTAAAGGAAGAATAGTTGAAAATATCATAAATAGGGGTTTCTAGGTTTTTATGGATTGCTTTTCTTTTAAAAGTAGTTGTCTCAACCTCTAACTCAAAAATTTAAACATGTAAACTAATGTGATTTGGTTTGTAGTTAACCTAATATAAATTCAATATAAAAAGTTATATGCTTCAGTAGAGCATTTTTATCATATTGACAACATATTTATTTATTTATTTTTATTTATTTATTTTTTAAGTAGGCTCCATGCCCAGCATGGAGCCGAACGCGGGGCTTGAACTCACGACCCTGAGATCAAGACCTGAGCTGAGGTCGAGAGTCGGACACTTCACTGACTGAGCCGCCCAGGTACCCCTCGGCAACGTATTTTAAATGAAAATATTAAAACTAATTCTAAGTATGACACACAAAACTATAAGGAAAAGAGTTTGCTATCTTGATACAGTAACATAACATACCAAACACATAAAGTTATAAGTTGAAAGTTTACAATTTTACTTATTCATATCTCGGTTCGTATCAGTCGGAAGTGGTGGCGGCTGTCTCTGTCTCCTGGAACCGCCCGGCTTCTAGTATGTCTTCCTGCACTGCCCGATAAGATCCAAATAGAGGAAAATTCCGGGGCATTTGTGCCCTCTTTCTCAACTTAAAAATTGACATGTATAATTTGCTAATGGAGAAGAGTAGAGATTGTATCTTTTTTTATATTGAAAATAACAGAAGGAAATTTTGCCAAATGGAAAAATGACCCATAATCCTCACCATCCTGGTACAGTGACCTCAGAGCTTTAATTTTATGTTCCGGTTTTCCCGTTTTTTTGTTGACATGATTACAGTCTTGACACCTAGATTTTCTAATTGACTGTTTTTTCATTTCATGATGTCAGACTCTATTTTGTATTTAGTTTTGGTAGTTATTTTAATCATATTATTTCATATTCAGTTTATTTAAGCCAGTTCCTTATTGCTGAACACTTAAGTTATTTTCAGTTTTATTAGGATCAGTTCCTGGGGGTGGGATTATTAAATGGAATAATAAGAACAGTTTTATGGCTCTTAATATGTTTGCCTTATTACTTTCCCAAAGAGTTACAGCATTTTACACTGGCACCATTTGAGTTCATTAAGTTTACAGCTTTGGGTGGGGGTTTTATATGTTGTTGCAATTTAGTAAGTATAAGAGTTCAAAATTGCTCTTATTTGCTTTTGTGTGACTTTTTCGTATACTTTGTTCATTTATAGAAATAAATGTCTTAATGGTTTCTTTATACATTTGTATGAGTTATTTATGTAGTAAGTATTTGGTAGAAGTATTTTCATGGCCTGTTGTGTTTTTAATTTTCATTTCATTTTTCATTTTTGCTACATTTGCAAATTAATTTTAGTAACTATTCCCCTTTTATAGTTGTCAGATTTATGAATATGAATAGTTAAAATTTTTTAACTTTAAAATATTCTTAACTGTCATAAATAGCTGAAACTGATCAGGATGCTCTGAAAGGTTCAAGACTCATCGATAAAACAAATTCGTTTTCTTCCAAGAGTCTAGTATTTAAGTACCAAATGTTTTGTTTTTTTCATTATGTAGTTCTAGGCCTAAAGTTTAATCATATGATAAAGTTGTTTTGCTTGTAAGAAAAAGAACTTCCTGAAAATGTGTCAACCTGGAACATACCAAATTACTTAAGTTTTACCGTTTAGGTTTTTTTATTTCTGAAAAATATTTTTGTCTTAAAAGTCATCAAGAGTGGTCCTAGGATTATTTTACTTATGATTTTAGAATTCACGAGCATTAAAATAATACAGATTTTCTCTCTGCTAATTCAAAATTATAAAATTTGAATAAGGGCTAAACTCACATTTTCCTATACTGACTGGATCTTTTCTTCTTAAATACTTGAATTAATACAGGCTACTAATCCATCGTCAGAAATGATTAATTTTGTAAAATAAAATAAAGAATGCTTTATATCAGGTCTTCAGTACATTTTATACTCCTGACCAGTTTGAAATTTGTATCAGACTTACAGTGGGCACTTAGAGGTTCATTTCGATAGTGAGTTTTATTTTAAAGGAAGAAAGTAATTTACCTTCTGTCATTATGTATATAATAGAGAAAATGTAATTCAAAAAGCACTCTAAAATGTTGAAAAATTTAAATAGAGGAATATAATAGAAAGTTTATGTATTGAAATCATTATGATGGCCTTGTAGTCAAATCTGTAGAACACTTGTCTTAAAACTATTTCTTTACATTATGTGTGGGCAGCCCTAGTCTGCCCTGATCATTAAGTACCATTTGTTAAACACTTACTATGTGGCGTTTGAATCAGGAATGCCTTCATATTTTCAATTTGAATTAAATTCTATGAACAGGAATATTTCAGATTGCTGTTGTAAATGGTGATATCAGCAGGAAAGTTGAGGTCAGAAATAACTATTTTCTTCTTATCCGTAACTCTTAAAGTATAATATGTTAAGATCATTTTTGTCTCTACTATTAATCAGCTTTTTGATCCAGGCAAATCACTTCAATCTTTTGGGGCCTCAGTTTTCTTATCTTTGAAACAAAGGGGCGGACTGGTCTAAGAACTTTCCCAGCTCTGAAATAGTAGGCTTCTGAGTACAAAATAAATGTGTATTTATTCTGGTCAGAAACTTATACCTTGTAACCTGAATTTTCATGTTGTTCATCAAATTCTCATCCTTCGTCTCTTTGAATATTGCATCTCTTCCATCCAGTTGTCGTATTAGATTACATCTTATCTTCTCATTTTGTTTTATGTGTCTAATTACTCTTTCATATTTTCTCTCTATCCCTCTGTGCTGTAGCTTGGGGATTTCCTTGAATCTTTTCCAGATAATGAATTCCTTCTGCTATTTTAGTTTACTGTTTACCTATATATTCATTTTAATGCTTATTGTGTTTTTAGAAAAGTTCTAGAATATCACCTTTTTTTCAAAATCCCTCTTGTGTGTTGTCTTGTTCTTTCATCAGATTTTAGTTTAAATATACATATATATTTAAATATAGTTTCAATATGCATTTTTTTACTTTTACTGGTAATATCTATACAGAAAACTGCATATACCATAAATGTATAGCCTGATGAATTTTCACAAAGCAAACACATATGTAACCAGCAACCAAATCAAGAAACAGGACATTACTAGTCTACCAAAAGCCCTCCAAAGTTCTCTTCCAGTCACTAGCCACTGACCTTCACCCTGCCACCAAGGGTAATCACTTCTAACATAGATTATTAATTTGCTTTCATGCTTTATATAAGTCGAAGTGTGCAATATATACTCTTTGATGTCTGACTTCTTTGGCTCAAAACTACATTTATGAGATTCTGCCACCTTGTAGCCTCTGGTTGTAAGTTACTCATTCTCATTATTGTTTAGTATCCCATTGTGTGAATATACCACCCTTTATTGATTCTACTGAATGATGGACACTTGATTAGCTTTCAGCTTTGGGTTTTTTTTTTTTGTTTTTTTTTTAGTATTACATTATATTTCACTCATTCTATCTCATTTTTGGCTTGTTCTAACTCTTTTAAAAATGTCTTAGTGTTTGCTGTAGGATTTATGATATACATCTTCAATTTATCGCAAATTACCTTCATTGTATCACCTCATGTATTATGTAGAAACTTTATAATAGTATATTTCCATTTCCTATCTCCTATCTTTTGTGCTTTTTTCATATAACTTACTTTAACATATGATATAAACCCTATAATATATTGGGCTTTTGTTGTTGTTCTTTGTTTTTACTTTATTACTTTAAACCATGGTTCAGCAAATTTTTCTGTAAAAAACGCAATTGTAAATATTTTAGAGTTGGCAGGTATATGGTTTCTCTTGCAGCTACTCACTTTTGCCACTGTAACATGAAAGCAACCATAGACAATACATATAAGTGAATGGATGTGGTTACGTTCCAATAAAATACATTTACCCTCATGCTGTAGCTTGCTGACCCCTGCTTTAGACTGACAGTTATCTTTAAGAGATTAAAAATTGTAACAAAAAAAAAATCTTTCATATTTCTCTATATCCTAGTGTTCTTCATTTTTCTTATATAAAACCAAATATTTACGGGGCGCCTGGGTGGCTCAGTTGGTTAAGCGACTGCCTTCGGCTCAGGTCATGATCCTGGAGTCCCGGGATCGAGTCCCGCATCGGGCTCCCTGCTCCGCAGGGAGTCTGCTTCTCCCTCTGACCCTCCTCCCTCTCATGCTCTCTGTCTCTCATTCTCTCTGTCTGAAATAAATAAATAAAATCTTAAAAAAAAAAAAAAAACCAAATATTTACTGCTATCATACTTCTTCCTCCTGAGTAACTTC